GGAATAAGTGATTTCCTTATGACAAATTCATTTTTACTGTTAGTGTCAGTATTCTTTTAGCGAGTTTTCTACTTAAAGATGAAGTCATGATGAACTATTAATCTTACTCCAAATAACAAAGTGATTAGTTTTCTAATAAAACTGTTGTTAAAGTACTGCGTCGATTATCCGCCGTAGCAAATTTCCAGTTTAAGTAGGAAAGGAACGATTTGAGTCAGTACTTTTAAGTTAAGCTTTACTCTTCACTTCTGGTGGACGTGTTTTACGATGTAAGAATTCGTTAGCGCCTATAGAGTGTATTCACTTGACGTCATAGCCGCCATATTGGTGTCCCCGCGTAAAAAACAATTTTTATTAACTTCTTTTGTTAGGGACACCAACATGACTGCCACGGCCTTTGTCATTTAATTCCCACAGGACTGAGTGAATACGCTCTGTAGAACCTTTGAGTGGCGGTTTTCTTCAAAGGAACTCTTTTAACACGTACGGTAAATAATTTCTGCCCTGAAACTTGTAAACAGCTTAAAGATAATTTACTTCATATTGGGCATTTGAATATTACTATTTATAATATTATTATTTCCTTTTAAAACATAGACTGGAAAATGCGCGCGCTCTGATTGGTTAAAAACCATGTTTATCAGAGTATAAATCATAGAAAAGCAGTGTTTTATCGTTTCGCGCGCGTTAAATCTATATTTTAAAGCAAATAAAGAAGCCAAAACCATGTATTATACTGTCATAAAACACTCCGGGAATTTGAGAACACTTGAGAAATATAGAAAACACTCGCCTGCGGCTCGTGTTTTCTAAATTTCTCTCGTGTTCTCAAATTCCCGTCGTGTTTTATGACAGTATAATACATGGTTTTGGCTTCTTTATTTGTTAAATAATATCTTTGTTATGTATTGTGAATTTTATTCGGTAGAAATGATGTTTGTAGTTTTTATACTGTCATAGTCGTTATATTTTGATTGGGGAACTAAGAGACGTTACTGACATTTGTAAGATAAACAGTTTTCGTTCAAAGATATCGGTCGCACCCAGTGTTTGATTGGCTTTTAAACTAAGCTATAGCTCAAAAGAGTTATAATCAATCTGATATCACTGTGCCAACTTTGATATTATCTTTTCAATTTAAAAAAAACCCCACTCACATGTACTTCTCCATACTTCAGTAATCGCATGCTATAATTAGTCCAAGAAAAACGAAGAATGACTTGAAAAATTCACAAAAACGTCAACGGATTTCACCCAGAATGTCGACATTTTAATGTCGATTATAAATTACCAGAATAAAGTGTTGGCCCGAAGGATTTATTCTCACTTATATTTACCACATGGAGGATTTTTATAACACTGGGATTTGGCCTGCTGTAATGCGATAAATTTAATGTATTTGTTCTTTTCATTGCCTGTGGCAGTTTCTCTGTTGTTAGGTTGCCCGCATAGAATTTACGTTAGGGACTTGTCACAAATTAGCAGGGTGGGAGGGGGGTGGAGATTTTAAATTGAGCGTTGAAAATTATGTGACCCTCCCTAGCAATGGGATTGAAATTTCCTGACCCTCCCCTTGGCCTTGGCCTAAAATACCATGACCCCCCCCCCCCAGCCCCCCCCCCCCTCCGATCCCCCGCTGCGCAGCTAATACCTCCCATACTGTGACACTAGTGTGAGCATTTTTATACTGAAGCAAAATTGAAAAAATTCTGCCCTCGTGGTACTACCTACCCCTATGAAACATATCCATAAGGCCCATTGGCAGTATTTTGTATGGGGGGGGGGGGGGTGTATAAGTACACAGAAGGCGCGATCTCTGGAACGGCGATGGCGCAAGTTTGAAGGGCGGTCCGGGGCATCCTTCGTGCGTTTTGAATGCAGTTTGATATAAAACTTTTTCAATTCAAAATGGATTTTTTACAAACAGAAACTTTATGTGACATGTAATTTTGCAATTTATGGACAAAGGTATCCATAGCCATAGTCTTTTTTAATAATTAACTTGAGATGTTGCTCTTGTATTCTTGAAAGGCATTTGACATAGCTTGTATTGTTTTTGTAAACAAGTAAATTTATTGTCTTACGATTCTACCATTCCTGCCATATATTAAAACACAATGTTCTTTATGATCTATGATCTATTCTGGCACTTTTACTGGTATATCCATGAGCGTAAATTTATGTGACCTTCCCCTTTTTCGCTGCCTATTTTTTTATGACCCTCCTTTTTAAGGGCTCAAAAAGTTATGACCCTCCCCCATTTTCCACCCCCCCTCCGTCCTGCTAATTTGTGACAAGTCCCTTATGATATAATTTAGGTATTTAATTCAGGACCTTTCTGTCCTTGTTTCTCTGGAATTATTGCTGCCCGCACAAGGCAGCCTCCTAATTCTGTTCTGAGACTCGATTTCTGGATTTGTGCCGGATTTCTGTAAATATGTTTGTTAGCAATACCCAGTCTCCTCCGGAGGGAAGCGCCCAAACACCCCTTCGCATCTTTACTACTGCCATCTACTTCCAAAAATTTTCCTTCAATCTACTTCACATTTTCGGGAAAACCCTGGGACCCCCCCCCCCCCCCCCCCCTTTTTCAAAAAGTCCTGGATGCGCCTCTGTTTATTACCACGCCGCCTTGTTTCGATTCTAGCGTACAACATGAACTGACCTTTGGGCTATAGCCTCTTTATAAACGATTAAGCCTGTTACAAAACCACGTTCTCTTTTTAACCAAATATCCAACAACCTTTGATCTTTAAGTTTCACGTAGTCAGGGGTACAATATCCCTTCAAAGATATAAACCACGATAACTAAAAGAAGCCCAAACCAACGATGATAATGGAATTCACTTAGGATTACAAATGTGGCAGCACTTCACTTCCAATATGAAACCCCTATTATAATATTTAAGATTAATCTGATTCATATAATTACAGACTGAATTAGACTCCTCTTTGTCTTGTTTTAAAACCATGCAGATGCATTATAAATAGACTGTTTTGAAATCTCTTCTCTTAAATTGTCAACTTCACCGATTGTCTTAACAATGTTGAGGAAATAAAGATTGACTATGAAGTAAAATGCAGGTCGACATATCTGTGCGTGCAATCTGAGGTTTATTGGACAAGAATGTAGCAGTTGGCTTTGATGTGTTTTTCTCCATTATCTGGTTTGAGATCTGCTTCATTTCCACAGGAGTTGTCATCATGTTGTCCTCCTCTTGTTCCAGCAGAACCGAATCCAATTCTTGAATTACAGGAATCGCAATTTTCTTCGTTGTTGCTTATGATTCCAATTCTGGTAATGGCAGGGTCGCGTGTTCCAGTCGGCGAGACTACGTTGAATCCCTCCTTGTTGCAATTTGTCTGGAGTGAGGACCCTTCTAAAATAGATTTCCACTTCTCTCTGCCAATGTTTGTTTCTTTGTAGATGTCGTTTTCCAGAAGTGAATGTAACGAGACTGCTGTCTGATTAATAGATACCCATTTTTGTCACCTCGCCGACCCTCATTCCAAGACAAAGTTTGGTAAAGGGATTACTCCAATAGCTGGGCATCTTTGTCTCTTCGAGGTCAAAACCCATTTTTGCCAGAACCTTGATCATATGCTGTCTTGTTGATCCAGTAGTTTGCATGATACGAGAAAGTGGTCTGAGGAGGCAAAAGTAGACATCCATCTAAATATGCATCTCATAATAAAGAGCAAGTGAGTATGTTATAGGAGCTACGTCACTACCCTGCGAGCAGAGTCACTTTTGATCTTCCTAGAAAAATCGCTTTCCTCTTCCCAATTTTTCTAGGAAGATTGAAAGCGACTCTGCTCGCAGGGTACTACGTCACCTACCGATCATGGGTAGCTACTTGAAAAAAAAAGCCAAATTGTCAAATTCGTCGTTCGTAAACCTCCTCATTCTTCCGCCGTCTAAAACCATTCATATTTCTTTTAGTTTATTACTAACTTTTTGGTGTGTTTCTACCTTAGTAAAATTATTATTACGAGCTTTCCTTCGATTTGAATGTGAAGGTTTTATATATGTCACGAAAAGAACTGCGGGTTTCTCTAATAAGACAACCAAACGCGTGAGAGTTAGGATTAACTATCTCGTGGGGGATCCGACCTTGCAGCCGCCTACCTTTTCCCCATCAATCTTCATAACTAGAGTCCAGCCTCCGCCACCGCATTCAGGAATATCGTCCATGTGGCAATACGTGTGAGCCACACCTCCTTCCTCGGTTTTGAGGTAGTAAGCACCGCTTTCAGATTCACTGCAATATACAGAAAAGGTAGACATTTAAGAAAGATCACACAATGTTTTAGTTTTGAAGACACATGTTTCGGATACTTCAGTACCCATCATCAGCTCAAGGATGTTTACAACTACAATATGTATATATATTAAGTAGGTGAAAAAGAATTAATTACAGAAAATAATGTGACTAATTACTAAATAATATGAAAAAACAAGTGTGAGAAAAATCACATAATACACTAGGGATATAACAGCATGAAAAAAAAAATAGAACAAACAAGAAAAATAACTGTGAAATAAAAACAGCAACAACAAAACAATGAAAAAACAAAACAAAAAAACAATTAAAGTAGAAGCGTTAAATTAACATGTTTAAATTGTTTATTTAGCGAGGGTCGTTCCCATTCAATGTGAAGGGCTTCCTTGATCTTAAGTTGGAAGCTCAGTAGTGGGAGCCGAGCCCAAGATGGAAAAGCAGACCTTAAAACAGAGATTCCTACATGACTCTGAACCCTGTAAATTACGGTCCGAATGTAAATGCTCGCGAACCCGTGTGGCCAAATGTCTGGTGGTCTCACCAAGATAGCAGGCATCACAGCCTGCACAAGTACCACACGGGAATGCATAGAAATTGGGACCGAATCCTTCACACTAACATGGTAGGTAGTAATACCATCAGTTTGCCGCTTATTTCCCATTAGATATTTTTAGAAGGAAGCCTGAAGAAAAGGTTTTATAAAGCATCAAAGTGGAACTCTCCCAACAGGAGTCGAACCTATGACCTTCTGTACACCGGTCGGACGCTCTACCACTGAGCTACAGGAGACTCGTGGGAGTCATATTTGAATCTAGTTATATATAGCCTTGCTCCCACGGGTCCCCTGTAGCTCAGTGGTAGAGCGTCCGACCGGTGTGCAGAAGGTCGTTAGGTTTGACTCCTGTTTGGTGAACTCGGAAGCCTTTTTTTTTTCAGGTAGCTTGTGTCACTGACAGATAAAACATCTTTCTCATATTTCTGCCAAGCTTAAAATTCAACATCATTTCTTTCTACATAAATTAAATTAAATTAAATGTATAGCTATTCCAAGTTCATATATGATGCCTTACGGTGTGTTAAATAAGACATCGGCACACGAGGAGGCTGTATGGTGTGGATTATATCCTTTATTTTCTGTCAGAAATAATAAAAATATTAATTAATTATTATATTAACAAACCGAATTATATTCTACTGTACAGTGTCATAGCCGAGTGCTTAGTCTCCACAAAGTTCAAAGAGTACTTTTAAACTCAGGCAATTTGACTACTTTTAATTAGGATATGATGAAGATATTTGTAGCTGGACTTGCAGTATGGTTTATTTATGATTGAATTTAGCATCAACATTCAAACACCATCATAGCATCTTTAATACTACTGTCAGTACCTCTTCTCGTGATGCTAGCTTAACCCTATTCAGCCGACTGGGGGAGTGGGGGCGAATCTGCCCTCCTGGACTTTGACTGTTTATAACTTTTTTAATATTGAAGTAAAAACCGCCAAACTTTTCGACTTTACCTGATTTATTGGAAACAATATGGTATGGGATGTTATTATTCACCAAACTTTCTGTTACCATGGGAACAATATGGTATGGGATGTCATTATTCACCAAACTTTCTGTTACCATGGGTACGATATTTTGGCACCCCCTTCCATGTTTTTCTAAATCTGGAAAATTTTCTTTTTTAAGGAATAACATTTTTTTATTGGCTTTGAATACTTTTGAGTGGTTTTCTGACGTTTTGGTAAGTCCAATTACGGATCCAAGATGGTGGATGTTCGGAAATCATAACGTAATTTTACAGACATCCAAAGAAACATTTTTGAACGTACTATATACCCTCCAAGTTTCATTGTCGTAGTTTTTACTCTTTGAGTAACAGAGGGGGGACCGAATCCATCACACCGGTCTGTAAAGACCGAAAATTAAAGCCTGCTTTGAATATAGTTAAGATTAGTTATTTATTATTTTTATCAAGTATACTAAAATAAAATGTCGTTTGAAACACTTAATTATCAACTTGTAATTGATAAAGATAAAATAACTGCTATTATTATATGACATAGCATTTTAGAGTGCGAATACGCACAAAGACGAGAGCAGATATGAGACCGTATTACACGGGTCTTAGTCCCCCTGACCGCGCGGTACGGAAAACACTGTTGAAAGCCTATATTTTAGGAAAGATATTATGTCGTATAATAAACAATTTATTCAGCGGAAAGTTGTGTAATACGGCTGGGCATTTTTAGTCGTCAGTGTTTATTTTTTCTCGCCTAAAGGCTCGAAAAAATAAAAACTGACTCGTAAAAATACCCAGCCGTATTACACAACTTTCCGCTGAATAACCTCTATTTATTAAGTGCGTTTATCTTACTTGTCAAGGTAGCGGAGCAAGAGAAGGATCCGGGTGTATTGACACAGAGTGCATCGGGCGAACAGTCATGAGTACCAATGGCACATTCATCTACATCTGTGAGGAAAACACCACAATTTATAAAATGTTGATCATCTAACGCGCGCTCTGATTGGTTGGGAGGTAGTGTAGCATAACGTTTCGCTTTCTCTTGTGGTTGTATGCGCCAATTTCTTAATTATATTAATAAAAGCTACATTCATCAAAAAGAGCGAGATTGGTTTAGAGAGAGGGAATTGTTCCTTAAGTTACTTTTGCGGATGGCGCTTCTTAAAAAAATTCAGTAGCCAATTTTTTCATGTTCGTCGTTCGCAAACCGTCTTACCTTAAGCTTCCTCAGTCATAACCATTTCTACCTTAGTAAAACTTTTATTTCGAGGTTTTCTTCAAGTTGAAATTATTATTTTTTACATGAAAAACATTACTTAAAATATCGTGACATACTGATGTAGCCGTTATAAGTATATATTTTTTATTGTACCTGTGCTGCATTCGCTTCCAGTGAATCCTGGTGGACAGATACATTGGAAGCTGTTGTCGCCAAGAAAGTTTGGTCTGCAAGTTGAATTCTTCACACACGGAGAGCTGCTACAGGGATTCTATATAATAAATGACGTTGTGGGATGTGTACCAAATATTGCTAAATTGATTCTAATATTCCCGTCTTCAAACAAACTATCCAATTATTGAGAGAGATATTATTCTGTCAGTGACACAAGCCGTACTCGGAAAAAAAACATTTTGGAAGGAGTTTTAATAATTTTTGATATGCAGGTTTTTTCTGTAATTCAACGTAATTAGAATGTTCTTTCTCAAGTTTGAAATGGTAATAATTTCTTACGCGGTTATAGAAATTGTAAGAAATCATGGACATTTTATATATTAACATGGAATGGAAGGGTATAGGAAAAGTTATTTCAAGTGTAATGTTTGACAGAAGGAAAACGGCATGGCAACATTGATTGAAGTCATACAAATTTAATGAGTCGGAGATTAACGGCAAAAAGCCAAAAATCCCGAATTTCAATTGCAGATACAATTAGATAAATTCTTGAATGGATTAAAATCTGCAGTAATTTTCAGGTAAAATCTTTCTGGTGTTACCTTAGTTGCGTAATATCTATAGCCAACCGCTTCCTCAAAACATTCTGGATTTTGTTTGTCGTCCGTGTCGCTCAGTTCGCATCTCCACATGTCATTGTCAAGCCGTGGGCTTATGTTAATTGATTGGCAGATGTCGTTCAGATAACAATGAAGCTTGCACGTTTCTTCTTCTGTCACAAGCAAGGTGTTGATTACGTGGCCTACCAAACATTTTCCTGTAATGGGTATCGAAAACTCTTTGATGCGGCAACATTCTGGAAAAGAAGGAAATTCGACCAAAAATTTTGAAATAAAAACACGCCGCGAAATTAAACGAGGTAATAAATTAGGACTGATGACTCGAAAACGACCAAAAGCACCAAATTATTACCGAGCCGAAATCCCGCTGTTTGTACATTAATGAAATTGGAAGGTGATTCTTTTTTCATGCATATCAAGCTCACTTCCACTTCTAACTACCACAAACTTAACGTTAAAATCGTTGTTAATAGTTTTCTCAATTTTTTTTTAAATACAGGCTTACAGACTGAAATAATGCAACATAAAATTGTGCATCTTTGAAGTGTGCATGATGTCGTTTTCAGTTTGGTTATTATATGTGATCAATATCCAGAATGATCGTTATAGGATTGTTAATTCGTTTTAGGAGTGTTGAGTCGATCAGGGGCCTGACTGTTTATCCGATATCCGAATATTTTAACATTGTTTTGTAAACAAGTGTTTAATCTGAAGTATCTAACGTAGTTTTAAATTTCTGTCTTTATTCTACACATCTATCTTTTAACTTTTTCCTATGGGATGAAGTGCAACTAAAACAATATCTGTTCACCCAAAGTAGGAAAACATTCCGTACCTTTTTCCACGAGCCAACACAACAGAAGCCCTATCTTCAACAGCAGCATTTTCAAGAACATTTGCTTTTTCTTCCTGGCTTGGCGGATGTCCGTGAGTGTGTGGGATTAAAATTCTGCTTGTACCATATTAGCAGGTGTTTGGAATGGAGCATTTTTAAAACAATAGATCTTACTGCCGTAATGCTGATTCATTGGTCAGTTTTAATGGCAGGTCTATTCATTTCATCTGGAATAAATTTTCCTTAGTTCATACAAGACTTTATTTGGACATTCACTTCTCATTTGATAATACACATATTTACATGCTTCAGTGTATTTTATTTTGGGACGGGGATTGACATTTTTTAAACCAGTTTGATTTTTATTTTCCTTTGTTTCGGATCATGATGATAATAGATTTAAGACAAAGCAAGGAGAATATAAAGCAAACTGGTTTGAAAAAAATTCAAACCCAAAAAGGTTAAATACGTAAACAATAATAATGCAAAGATGTTCGTCAGTTTTACAGTGACAATCACATTTAAAAAATATATATATGTAATAGTTAGTATCATGGTAAATTACAGTCATACAGTTCCATAAAAAAGACGTGCAATTTCGCGTTAAAAAAGTTTTAATTATCCAGCAATTTAATTTCAGAGACAACATTTTAGCATATCAATTACTTATAATATATTCCATAATTTATTATGGACGTTATCGATTATTTGGCCAACATATTTAGCAGAGAAAGTAATGAGCTTTTTTGACCAGATGATCTTCAGAAAATGAAATTCTGATGAATATGCGAGCAACATCATAGAGTGAACAAACGACGGTCGTGCTCGCTGTGTTCAGTGAAGCTTTCAATTACATGTAACTAAACGAAAGATGTGGAGATTTTACTGTAATTCACACAAGCCGCTTCGTGAAATTTCAGTTGTAATTAATTTATTCGAAGTGATTATTGTCATAAAAGGATTATCGAGACTGGCAACATGACACAGGGATGTCAAGTTGCACACCATGAAACCATCACTTCAGCCGCTGCCATAATTAACTTTGTGTTGCAATATGTAATTTTACTGTGCGACTTAGAAAAGCGTGAACACTTTGATTTATCTTTGACATGTCAATAACCCTTTTCACGGTTAACCTGAAATATTTGCATAACAATACAGCTGAACATAGAAGCGAGGCAATTTCGGGCACAAGCTGTAAAACATCGTGATTTTCTTGAGCTCCTTAAACTATGTTAGCATAAAAATAGTTTTAAAACGGAGAAGAACTAAATATACAACTCTTTTAGTTAAAGTTTGCCGTAAAGATCGTAATCCGATCTCCCTGTTGCTTATGCGAGTCTACTCTTTATTAAAAGAGAAAAGTCGTTTTACAATTTTTTCTAAAAACGACGTAAACTAAAAGAATTA